TAAGTGTGATGTTAAATAAGAACATAAGAACTTAAGAAAGTAGGAACACTGCAACAGGCCTGCTGCCCCATACTAGGCAGGTCTTTCACAAATTCAACCCACTAACAGAACAAATGCTACCCAAGCAATAAGCTCAGGTGCAAGTCCGACTCAAATCTAACCCCTCTCACTCGTGTATTTATCCAACCTAAATTTAAAACTACCCAATGTTTTAGCTTCGATCACCCTACTAAGCAGACCGTTCCACTCATCAACTACCCCTATTACCAATGTTTTAGCTTGGATCACTCTACTAGGCAGATCGTTCCACTCATCAACTACCCCTATTACCAATTTTTTTATTTTTATTTATTTAGTAATTTTAGCATACATACAGAGGTACAAAAAATACAGGTAAGAGCAGCATGCCAAAACCACTTATATGCATAGCATTACGGGCTGGCTTAAAAATGTTTTAGCTTGGATCACCCTAATAGGCAGATCGTTCCACTCATCAACTACCACTATTATCAATGTTTTAGCTTGGATCACTCTACTAGGCAGATTGTTCCACTTATCAACTACCACTATTACCAATGTTTTAGCTTTGATCACTCTACTAGGCAGATCATTCCACTTATCAACTACCACTATTACCAATATTGTTCCACTTATCAACTACCACTATTACCAATGTTTTAGCTTGCATCACTCTACTAGGCAGATCGTTCCACTCATCAACTACCACTATTACCAATGTTTTAGCTTGGATCACCCTACTAGGCAGACCGTTCCACTCATCAACTACCTCTATTACCAATGTTCATTTATACATTTTATTAGTGCTTTACATTTATTTGACATTTTTTTCTGCATGTAAATCTATATTTATGCTAGGGAAATGACCCCTGAAGTGACCTAGAGTCCTTATGGAGGGGGATTCCCCTTCCAAACAATAACCTCTCTTCCCTCTCTCCTCCTCCCTGTCTTCCATTCATCAACAACAGCCTTCAATAAAGGTAACTGTCATGTTGAATGTTCATTCTTTTGTGCATGTAAATCTATCTTTTAAGTAAAAAAAAAAATTGTTGTTGATACTTCTGGGTGTCTGGAATGAATTAATTGGATTTACATTATTTCTTATGGGGAAAATTGATTTGAAAATTGTCTATTTCGATAATAGTCCCACTTCCAGGAACGGATTAAGGACGATAATTGAGGGACCACTGTATAACTTTCATTATACTTACTGAAACCTGGCTCAGACAAGATCTGACAGACATATTTACCATACCTGGTTACACAGCCATACATAACTGTAGGCCCGACCAATCAGGAAAAGGCACTGCCATCTATTACTCTGATGAACTAGAATGTGTGAAAACAACTAATGTACGGGACGAGAACGGTGAATATTTTTTTTTTTTTTTTTTTTCTTTTTCAACAAGTCGGCCGTCTCCCACCGAGGCAGGGTGAATATATAATATATAATAATAAATTCACATCGAGTACACTTAAGAAACCTATAACAGTTGGTGCAGTCTACAGACTACCACACTCAAACACTTACAATTTTAGCAATAACCTTAGAAACATGATAACTGAGTCAGAGTTGAATAAACACCATCTGATACTAGCAGGAGATTTCAACATCAACCTTATCCAAGCAACCGACCCTCCAGTAGTTGATTTCACAAATGCTATGAACAACAGCTTATTGCTACCCACTATAACAAAGCCAACAAGAATCTCTGACACTAGTGCCTCGTTACTCGACCATATCTGGTCCAACATAATATCCCCACTATCAGCAGGTATAATCACAGATAACACCACAGACCACTACCCTACCTTTCTCATAACCAACTTATCTAAACAAGAAAGATCTCATTTTGCCTGCATGATGAGACATCGATAAACAACCTAAAACTAGCTCTAGGTGCCATTGATTGTAAGAGAGAGCTAGATGACAGTAATAATATCGATAAAGATATAAAAAATCTTTATGTAAAACCCTAAACCTCTACAACAAACACTGCCCAATCAGAACAAAACAGATCACAGAAAAGAGGCTAAACAGCCCATGGCTAACTAGAAGTATCCTCAAAATCTATTAATAAAAAACACCAAATTGAAAAGCAGTTCAGATTAGGCTTAATTACTAAAGAATTTACTAGAAGATACACATCAATACTAACAAAATTAATACATAAATCAAAGCAAATGTATTATGAAAAAAGATTTAGTGAAATGAAAGGTGACATGAAAAGTACCTGGCAAACCCTCTCCAAAATTTTGGGCTCAAGGAAACTGACTGGAAATAGAGAGATAGACTTAACTAAACCAGATTAACTTCACATGCAACCTATAGACACGGCCGACAAATTTAATGTCTTCTTCTCTCCCATCCAAGCGAGTACCTCACTGGCAACTATCCAAATACAGTGGACCCCCGGTTAACGATATTTTTTCATTCCAGAAGTATGTTCAGGTGCCAGTACTGACCGAATTTGTTCTCATAAGGAATATTGTGAAGTAGATTAGTCCATTTCAGACCCCCAAACATACACGTACAAACGCACTTACATAATTGGTCGCATTGGGAGGTGATCGTTAAGTGGGGGTCCACTGTACTCTATTTCTAGCTCCAACTAATCCCACTGAAGTCTCACTCATCATTAAATTAAAAAAACAAATCAGGTGATCTAGATAACTTGCCACCATTCATATATAAAAAAGCTGCACCAGAACTGTCGCCCATTATTGCAACAATGTTTACCAAATCTATAGCTTCCTCGACCTTCCCATCCATACTCAAGACAGCAAGGGTCACCCCGATCCACAAAGGTGGAGATCCAACTGATTTGAACAATTACAGACCCATATCAAACTTGCCCTTACTATCCAAGATATTTGAAAAAATAATACACAAGCGACTTTACTCCTACCTTACATCCAACAACATACTTAACCCATGCCAGTTAGGATTTAAACCAAAAAAAAGCATGAATGATGCTATTATACAAATGCTTGACCTAATATACACAGCTCTCAATAAGAATGAATATCCCCTGGAGCTCTTTATCGACCTAAGAAAAGCATCTGACACAGTTGACCACAATCTCTTGCACCTCAAACTGAATCATTACGGCATAAGAGGACATTCTCTAGACTACGTAAAATCCTATCTTAATGACAGACACCAGTATGTATATGCAAATGGAGTCAACTCCGCTATCCAACCTGTAGCTGTAGGAGTACCCCAAGGTAGTGTCCTAGGCCCACTCCTCTTTCTCATCTACATCAATGATCTTCCCAATGCATCCCAACTCCTTACACCAGTTCTATTCGCAGATGACATTACATATGTCTACTCCCATTCAGACCCAGTTGTGCTTGAAAACACTGTAAACAATGAACTGCTAAAGATATATGCTTGGATGATGACCAACAAACTCACATTCAACATAGACAAAACTTACTTCATGCTGTTTGGCAACAGAGCCTCAAATATTCAACTCAACATACTGTTAAATGGTTCCCCTATATTAAGACACACAGAGGGCAAATTTCTAGGTCTTCTCCTTGACTGTAATCTTAAATTTCAGTCCCATACCCATCACATAGCCAAGAAAATTTCCAAATCAGTAGGAATCCTTTCCAAGATACGCTACTATGTACCACAAACGACTCTCCTAACCCTGTACCACTCTCTACTATGTATATCCTTACCTCACCTATGGTATCTGTGCCTGGGGCTCAACCACAGCCAACCACCTTAGACCCTTAATAATCCAACAAAAAGCTGCTGTGCAGGTGATAACCAGCTCCTGGGCTAGACAGCACACCCCACCACTTTTCAAAAGACTCAACTTGCTAAATATACAAGACATACACTCTTATTATTGTGCCCACTACATATACAGAACTTTAAACTCCACTGTAAACCCCCCCCTAAAACTACTCCTCGACAGTTACAACAGAATGCACAGTCACAATACAAGGCATAAGGCACTTTTCAACATCCCCCGAGTAAGACTCTCACTATGCAAGAATGCTATGCACATAAAAGGCCCAAAGATCCGGAACTCGCTACTGGAACAGGTCAAGGATCCCCAGACAACTTATAAATTTAGGACTCTGCTAAAAAAATCATCTTATCTCACAATATTAACCAAATCAACCAAACATCTACTGACTAGTTTTATCATGTGACCTTCTGGCTTTTAATTCTGCCATTCCATAAAATATTATCACCTGCACCATTACTTGTAAATTAGATTTTGTACTAAGTATACAAAAGATTTATTAAGTCCAAATAAGATTGTAAAACAGCTAACCACTATTCTATGTTTAGTTTTAAGTATAATTACTATGTATTATTATCTTATCTAGTTTTAATTAGTTACTATGTATTAACATTAGTTTGCCTGAAGTGCCTCGGGATGATAGTGGCTATCTTTGTACTTAGTAAATAAAAATTGTAATTACACATTGTAACCTTTACAAAGAAATAAAATTATTATTATTATTATTAAGGTATGTAAATGTTGTATGTACACCAGATCTAATTCAGTTTTCATAGTGAGAATGCGCAACCACTCCCGACCACAATCCTCCTCCCTCCACCGTCCATGTAATGACATATTTTATTCATTCTAGAGTATATATCAGGTTTCTACATCATTTATATTGTTTATTATGTCATATTAGATGAATTGTGACAGATAAATAAGCCATAGAGTTGATATTAGGATTATTTTGTCATGCCTCCTGAGAGCAGGAATTCAGCTGGAATGAATTAATTGCATTTCAATTAATTTAAATAAGGAAAATTGACCCAGTATATGAACAAATCAGGATACGAACAAGTCCACAGAACGGATTAAATTCGTAACCCAAGGTTCCACTGTATATGGTTGAACTACACACTGTAGGGATGACACTGATGCAAGCTCCTGCTACTGTAATATTCAACTTTCTCATAACAATAATAATAACAATAATAATAATGATAATATTTAAAGGTCTTTCTTACCAAGGGTATAAAAATCATCAAGCGTGAGTTGTTTATCTCCGTCTTCAAACATGCCACCATAAAGGTAGAGAACTCCGCGCTTGATAGCCATCCCAGCGTTGATTCTTGGCAGCGGGGTGAACACATCTGGGGCATCAACTGCACCTCTGCAAACACCACTGCTTGATGACTGTGAAGGTCCAACAGTAACCTGCCAAGTACACAATAAACTTTAACCCTTTGACTGTTACGGTCGTATATATACGTCTTACGAAGTACCGTGTTTGACGTATATATACTCATAAATTATAGCGGCTTCAAATCAAGCAGGAGAAAGCTGGTAGGAACACATGTGAGAAAATGGGTCTGTGTGGTCAGTGTGCACCATATAAAAAAATCCTGGAGCACGCAGTGCATAATGAGAAAAAAAAAAATCCGACCATTTTTTGTAATTAAAATGCCGACTTTGTGGTCTATTTTCGTATAGTATTTATGGTTGTATTCTCGTTTTCTTGGTCTCATTTGATAGAATGGAAAACATATTATAGAAATAGAGGTGATTTTGATTGCTGGTTTCTTTTTCTGTTTCATAAACACACTAGATAACAGGAATATCTTGCTACTCCTACTTACATTTTGGTCACACTTCACAGACACGCACATGCATATATATATACATACATCTAGGTTTTTCTCCTTTTTCTAAATAGCTCTTGTTCTTCTTTATTTCTTCTATTGTCCATGGGGAAGTGGAAAAGAATCTTTCCTCCGTAAGCCATGCGTGTCGTATGAGGCGACTAAAATGCCGGGAGCAATGGGCTAGTAACCCCTTCTAATGTAGACATTTACTAAAAAAGAGAAGAAGAAAAACTTTATAAAACTGGGATGCTTGAATGTGCGTGGATGTAGTGCGGATGACAAGAAACAGATGATTGCTGATGTTATGAATGAAAAGAAGTTGGATGTTCTGGTTTTAGCACTGGAAATGGCTTGAAACTGAGCTCACAGTAGCGGAAATGTTAAATTTTTGCCAATGTTTATGAGTAAACAAACGACCTCACACGTCTAATACATGCCAGCTGGTGGGTCTAATATACATTCAAAAATGTGGTGATGATATTTATACAATTATTACAATATTGCACAACAGTAAATCTTCTATTTTTTGGTTTGAATAAAAATTCATTATGTGAATAAAAAATCAAAATGGAATTCATTTGTAAAGCCTCAAAACATAACTAATGAACAGAGGAAATGTTAGTTTAGTGCCAGGAATACCTACATTGTTTATTCTGGAGCCTATTTTGAAATTGGAATATTTTGAACTTTGTGTTAAATTGGCCAAATTACCAATTTCCAATCACTTTATTTTGTAGTTGAAACACAGTTTACTTGGCGATTTCTTATGCTCAATCGATAGAATAGAAGTAATACTAGTGAAATAGCTAAGAGTTTTGTCGACTGGAATATGTAATTGGCCTAAAATGGGAGTCAAAGTCGGCAAAATTGTGAATTCGTAAATATCGCTGACACATCAAAATTCGCAAGAGCATAATTTCGCCAATTTTCCATCAAATTTTGAACTTTTTGTTTTATTACCTTCAGAAAAAGATTCTCTACCATTTCATAAGAAAAAATAATTTTTTTTTTGAAAATTCTTGGATCCTGGTGCACACTTTGAAATTTGGCCTCTGGACCCTGAAAGGGTTAACCCCTGTCAGTTTACCTGGAGAGAGTTCCGGGGTTCAACGCCCCCGCGGCCCGGTCTGTGACCAGGCCTCCTGGTGGATCAGCGCCTGATCAACCAGGCTGTTGCTGCTGGCTGCACGCAAACCAACGTACGAGCCACAGCCCGGCTGATCCGGAACTGACTTTAGGTGCTTGTCCAGTGCCAGCTTGAAGACTGCCAGGGGTCTGTTGGTAATCCCCCTTATGTGTGCTGGGAGGCAGTTGAACAGTCTCGGGCCCCTGACACTTATTGTATGGTCTCTTAACGTGCTAGTGACACCCCTGCTTTTCATTGGGGGGATGGTGCATCGTCTGCCAAGTCTTTTGCTTTCGTAGTGAGTGATTTTCATGTGCAAGTTCGGTACTAGTCCCTCTAGGATTTTCCAGGTGTATATAATCATGTATCTCTCCCTCCTGCGTTCCAGGGAATACAGGTTTAGGAACCTCAAGCGCTCCCAATAATTGAGGTGTTTTATCTCCGTTATGCGCGCCGTGAAAGTTCTCTGTACATTTCTAGGTCGGCAATTTCACCTGCCTTGAAAGGTGCTGTTAGTGTGCAGCAATATTCCAGCCTAGATAGAACAAGTGACCTGAAGAGTGTCATCATGGCTTGGCCTCCCTAGTTTTGAAGGTTCTCATTATCCATCCTGTCATTTTTCTAGCAGATGCGATTGATACAATGTTATGGTCATTGAAGGTGAGATCCTCCGACATGATCACTCCCAGGTCTTTGACGTTGGTGTTTCGCTCTATTTTGTGGCCAGAATTTGTTTTGTACTCCTGATGAAGATTTAATTTCCTCATGTTTACCATATCCTGAGTAATTGAAATTTCTCATCGTTGAACTTCATATTGTTTTCTGCAGCCCACTGAAAGATTTGGTTGATGTCCGCCTGGAGCTTTGCAGTGTCTGCAATGGAAGACACTGTCATGCAGATTTGGGTGTCATCTGCAAAGGAAGACACGGTGCTGTGGCTGACATCCTTGTCTATGTCGGATATGAGGATGAGGAACAAGATGGGAGCGAGTACTGTGCCTGTGGAACAGAGCTTTTCACCGTAGCTGCCTCGGACTTTACTCTGTTGACGACTACTCTCTGTGTTCTGTTAGTGAGGAAATTATAGATCCATCGACCGACTTTTCCTGTTATTCCTTTAGCACGCATTTTGTGCGCTATTACGCCATGGTCACACTTGTCATAGGCTTTTGCAAAGTCTGTATATATTACATCTGCATTCTTTTTGTCTTCTAGTGCATTTAGGACCTTGTCGTAGTGATCCAATAGTTGAGACAGACAGGAGCGACCTGTTCTAAACCCATGTTGCCCTGGGTTGTGTAAACTGATGGGTTTCTAGATGGGTGGTGATCTTGCTTCTTAGACCCTTTCAAAGATTTTATGATATGGGATGTAGTGCTATTGGTCTGTAGTTCTTTGCTGTTGCTTTACTGCCCCCTTTGTGGAGTGGGGTATGTCTGTTGTTTTTAGTAACTGTGGGACGACCCCCGTGTCCATGTCCCTCTCCATAGGATGGAAAAAGGGTCGTGACAGGGGCTTCTTTGCAGTTCTTGATGAACACAGAGTTCCATGAGTCTGGCCCGGGGCAGATGCATGGGCATGTCATTTATCGCCTGTTCGAAGTCATTTGGCATCAGGATAACATCAGATAGGCTTGTGTTAATCAAATTTTGTGGCTCTCTCATAAAAAATTCATTTTGATCTTCGACTCTCAGTCTGGTTAGCGGCTTGCTAAAAACTGAGTCATATTGGGACTTGAGTAGCTCACTCATTTCCTTGCTGTCATCTGTGTAGGACCCATCTTGTTTAAGTAGGGGCCCAATACTGGACGTTGTTCTCGATTTTGATTTGGCATAGGAGAAGAAATACTTTGGGTTTCTTTCGATTTCATTTATGGCTTTTAGTTCTTCCCGCGATTCCTGACTCCTAAAGGATTCCTTTAGCTTAAGTTCGATGCTTGCTATTTCTCTGACCAGTGTCTCCCTACGCATTTCAGATATACAGTGGACCCCCGGTTAACGAACTTTTTTCATTCCAGTAGTATGTTCAGGTGCCAGTACTGACCGAATTTTTTCCCATAAGGAATATTGTGAAGTAGATTAGTTCATTTCAGACCCCCAAACATACACGTACAAATGCACTTACATAAATACACTTACATAATTGGTCGCATTTGGAGGTGATTGTTAAGCGGGGGTCCACTGTATTGACCTCTTTTAGCCGCTCTGTTATTCTTTTCTGTTGCCTGTAAAGGGAGCGCCTGTCTCTTTCTGTTTTACATCTACTCCTCCTTTTTCTTAGAGGAATAAGCCTTGTGCATACATCGAGTGCCACCGAGTTAATCTGTTCTAGGCATAAGTTGGGGTCTGTGTTGCTTAGTATATCTTCCCAGCTTATATCGGTTAGGACTTGGTTTACTTGGTCCCACTTTATGTTTTTGTTATTGAAGTTGAATTTGGTGAATGCTCCCTCGTGACTAATCTCATTATGTCGGTCTGGGGCTCCGCGCATACATGACTGAACCTCAATTATGTTGTTTGGAATCAGGAATAATAAAAGCACAAATGATGCTATTATACACATGCTAAAACTAATATATACCGCTCTCGAGAAGAAAGAAGTCCCACTGGGAATTTTCATTGACTTGCTGCACGCTATATTAACACACTGTGTTATAACAGGCCACTCCCTCAACTACCTAAAGTCATACCTTAGTCACAGAAGCCAATACGTGTACACAAATGGTGCAAACCCTTCAACTTAACCAATCACAGTAGGAGTCCTACAGGGAAGTGTGCTAGGACCACTCCTCTTTCTCATCTACATCAATGACCTACCGAATGCATCACAGCTACTCAAAACCCATATTATTTGGAGATGACACTACATATGTCTTCTCACACCCAAACCCAGCCATACATGCCAACACTGTCAATGCTGAATTACAGAAAATATCTACCTGGATGATGACAAATAAACTTCCCCTAAATACAGTGGTCCCTCATTTATCGTTGTTAATCCGTTCCTGGAAGTGCGACGATTATCAAAATAGACAATTTTCGAATAAATTTTCCCCATAAGAAATAATGTAAATATAATTAATCCATTCCTGACACCCAGAAGTATTAAAACAAAATTTTTTTTTACATGAAATATAGATGTACAGTGGAACCTCAAAAATCGAACTTAATCCGTTCCAGGAGCTAGTTCTAAATTTGAAAAGTCTGAAATTCGAAGCAATATTTCCCATAAGAAATAATGGAAATACAATTAATCTGTTCCAGAAACCCAAAAATATTCACACAAAAAATACATTTTATAGAGATTAATTACAGTTTTACATACAACAAATACTATAGTTTTTAATTATGTATAGTAATACATATAAAATAACATTTTTACTTACCTTTATTGAAGATTGGTGATGGCATCTGGAAGATAGGGAGGAGAGAGGGAGTTGGGGTTAG